ACAGGATGCAACTTGGCAGGCCTGGCAAAATCGAGCGGCGCATAAGATGACATCCGATTGGGTAATCTGGCGTGGGCAGGGGTGCGAAGCACAGCGTCAGAATGAAAGAGGACCATCGAATCTTGGCTGACGAAGCTTGGGCATGCGCACCTGAACGCCTCAAAAAACTCGGGTGACCACGACGACTCCAGAGCTGGATTTGAGCCTGTGACGGAGGCTTCAAAAAGATGTCATCTGGCAGAAAGTAAATGAACACCCCCCTGGAAGAAGTGCTCTGAACCCAGGGCCAATAACCAAACCGAGAAGAGCCTGGGGGAGACCAGTCGCCCAGAGGCTCCCAGGGGGGAATTGTGAGCCAGGGCCGCATGATGCAATCCTGGCAGCGCGCTCTCGAACGCCGGCCTGGGCCTCAGGTGGGGCCGCCGCGGGCGCCTGACCATCAGCTCCTGAGCCGTCTCCCCCGGCGGCCTCGGCAGCAGCAGCTGCGGCGCCCGCGGGCTCCGCTGCTCCCGCGGCAGGTTCAGCGCGCGAATCGCGTCGAGGGCGCTTCGCCTGCAGCCGCTTGAGGAGCGCCTCGTGCTCCTGCCTGAGAGCGTCGACCTTGGACTTGGCGTCGCGGAACAAACTGCCCGCCGGGCCCGAGATGCCCTCGCGAACTTGCGCAGCACGCGCCTCCAACTCCTTCTGGCCCTCAGGCTTGAGCTCGCAGTCGGTCTCGTCGATCTTGAGGATGCCCGCCGCCGAAAGGTCCAGCAACCACTCGAGCTTGGACGGGTCCAGGATGTCGTCAATACTGAGCTTCGATGGCGGCGCGTCTGGCTCCGACTGAGCCGCAAGCTGAGCATGGAGCTGGTGAACGAGGTCGCTGTGCTCCTTCTCTGACTGCTGCAGCTCCTTGCGCAGGCTGGTGACATGTCGGCGCTGAGCATCGACCTGTTGCTCCATGGTCTCGAACTTGAGGGCGGCCCTTTCGAGCCCCTTCGAGCTTGTTCTCGACCTGCCGAGCCTTGGTGTGCGCCTGCTGGATGCGCGCCTCCAAGCTGGCTGGCCGAGGCGCCTGAAGGGCCTGAGCCGCCGCGCGGTATGAATGTGCAGTCTTGGTGTCGCCCATTTTGTCGTAGAGTGAGGCCATCAGCTGGCACTCTTCGACGGTGAGCTTGACGGGCGCCGATGCTGGAGAGGAAGCGCCGATGCCGGCGCCGCCTGAAACTCCTGCACCTTCTTGGCTGCCGCCGAAACCTCCACCAGGAGGCGAGCCTCCCTTGAAGTGTCCAGGCGGTCCATGGTGGGCGTGCCTGGGCAACGCATGCCACGCGCTGTCAGGGGCCCGCGGACGAAAGGCACCGCAATGCTTGCACCACGTGAGCCAGCTGGCATTGCGTCGGCAACCACGAGCGTCACAAGACCAGCGTTGGCCAGCGGCGGCGCAGACTGCGGGAGGCACTGGTGACTGCTGTAGACCAGGAACGAGAGGACAAGCATTCCGAGAGATCGGCCCCTTGCCCCCGTCGGCCTGAACCCATGGCGCATAGTAGATGCCCTTGCAGCAGCCGCCTTTGTCTTCTTGGGACATGCCGCCGCGGCCTTGACTTTTTGCCCATGCCGCCACGAGTGCCGTGATGAATAGCTGCTGTGAGCACAGCGGAACGTGAAAGAGGATAGCAAAACCAAGCCACCTTGGCCCGCAACAGCAATGTGCCATTCTGAATCGGTGCTGTTGCAAGCCCAAAGGCTTGGGCCGTAACGGCTATTGGCGGCGAGCGAGGGGGGAAGTGAGAAGGAGAAAGCCTTCTCCGAAGGCTCGGAAGTCCCCCCGCCTTCTGCCAGATTTTCTAAGCCTTCCCTGAAGACGCATAACAACCCTCAAAGGCGCGAGGGCTTCTGAGAAGTCCCGCCGCCTTCCGAGAAAACCCCCCCCTCGCTCGCAGCCGAGTGTGATATAATGGGCTGTCACCCCTCTCCTTTTCCCCCTCCCGTGGGGCCCAAAATCGCTTGTCACGCGGGGGGGAGGGATATGAACTCGCCAACGCACCTCTGGGGTCCTCGAAGCCTCGAAATCAAACCTCCGTGGCGGCCGCCGTTCTGCCCGAGGTGCTTTCTAAGATGGCTCACAAGGGCCCCACTACGCGGGAGAGTCCTTAGGAACGCCCGAGGTCGTCTCAAGACGACCCAAGACGCCAACAGAGGGCCCCAAGAAGGCCCCACGACGCTTCACGAGGCAACGGCCATTTCTTTTCCGTAGGTTGTGGGATGCTTTTCGCGTTACCCTCTCTCTGGGCGTCTGCAAGCCCGAAGCGGTGCGGGTGGCCACCCAGACTGGCCCAAGACGGCCAGAGAGGCAAGTCAAGGCAAGGTGGTCTGCGTGCCAGCTCCTTCAGGAGGGGTCTCCTGGTGGGCAGAAGAAGAATCTTGTGCAGGATCGGCCAAACGCCGCGTGGACCAGCTCTGATCAACCCGTCGACCACAATCTGTTGCGTGTCACGTCGGAACAGAAGGCCCGATGACGGCCAGAGAAGGCTCCCACCAAGGCCGGGAGACGGCCCAAGAGGGCCCCAAGACGGCCCGAAACCCGCAAGATGCCCCCCTCTCCAGGGACCCGGGAGTCGCCCCCCCCCACCAAACGGCCCCCAAGACCACCAACATGCCCCCAAGAGGTCCCCAAGAGGCCCCCAAGGAGCCTCGAAAACACTCGACGAAACCGCCCCCAAAGGCCCCCAGTGGGCCCCCAAGAAGCTCCGCAACAGACGCCAGGTGGAGGAGGACGAATCAGACAACACCTACACGCAAGCAGCACATCGGGAAACCTCCAACAACACACAGAAGCATGCCATCAAAAGCCGCACATATCCCCTTCCAGGGGTCGGCGGAATGGCGTAAGCCTTTTGCAGACCCACCATTTGCTGTAACATGTTTTCACACACGCACACACACGCGCGCACACACACGCACCACACATACCACACACACACGGCACACCCACCACACACCACACACACCATTCACACACCACACACATCACGTACACGCATCACACACACATCACACACACCACATACCACACACACACGCACACCGCACCACACACACACACCAAACACATCACACACCACACAGCACACGTAGCACACGTAGCACACGTAGCACACCAAACTCTATACACCACACATAACACACACAGCACACACACACACCACACGCCGCACACAACACAACACACGACACACAACACACAACACAACCACACACGCGCAACCGAAAAGACAAACACAACACAAGCAGCATACAACCACAGCCAAATACAACTATAAGCACAACCATACACATACACATAACCATAACCACACACAGACACAAACATAACCACAACCACCAACCACAACCACAACCACAACTACATCCCCAACCACCACAACCACAACCACAACAACGATTCCAACCACGACACGCAACCACAACCGTAATCATTACCACACACAAGCACAAGCAAACCCGTCGACACAACCGCAAACACACCAACCACAACAACGACCACGACCACGACCACAACCACAACCACAACCACACGCCCAGGCCCAGGCCCAGGCACAGGCCCCGGCCCACGGCCCACGGCCCACGGCCCACGGCCACGGCCACGGCCAAGCCACGACCACGGCCAAGCCACGGCCACGCACACGCGCGCACACCCACACACCCACACACCCACACACCCAAACACCCACACACACACACCCACCCACGTACGCACGCCCGCACGCACGCACGCCCGCACGCCCGCACACACGCACGCACGCACCCTCCCACCCACCCACCCGCCTGCCCACCCACACCCACTCACACCCACCCACATCCACGCATACCCACCCACACCCACCCACACCCACCCACACCCACCCACACCCACCCACCCACCCACACACCCACACACTCACACACCCACACTAGCACACAAGCACACACGCACACAAGCACACAAGCACACAAGCTCACACGCCCACAACAACACACTAACACACACACACACACGACCACACACACAGCACCCACACACCCACACACCCACACACCCACACACGCACACACCCGAACACCCACACCCACCCACACGTACACACACATGCACATACACACACACACGTTCACACACATTCACACACACACACATTCAAACACGTTCACGCTCACACATCCACGCACACACGCACACGCATACACGCGCACACGCACACCAGACGCAACACACAACACACTAGTACACACACAACACACATAACACACAACACCAACACAGACACACACACACGCGTGTAGGTTTCTGACACCGCGTACGTTTGGACCTTGAGCGATCGCAGCCTTCCGACAGCGCAAATCGTTAGGAGCCCATCGTTTCTGGGCCACAGGCGGCGTTTGACCCTGACCGCCCGCGGTGGGGTCGCCGCCGCGCCGACACGACGCGAGCCTACCGCACCGTGGGGGGGGGGGGGGGGCATGGCGACCCCGATCCCCGCCCCTGGGCCAGAAACCCGGGGCCCGACCCGGGGAATGCGCGCTGGGGGTGCGCCCAGGCAGCCTCCTGGGGTGTACCCCCCCGAGCTTCCCTTCCTTGCTGGGCGGCCCCACTCTGGGGGTGGTAACTCGCGGGGCTGGGGGAGGGACGTCGCCTGCGAGCACCACCTGCAGCCCGCTCACATCACAGAGAGCCGCCTGCCGCCGCCTTGGAACGGAGCAGGGCGCCGACTGCCATCGCTCCCAGCACGGGCCTCCGACCACAAGAAACTGCAACACCGGAAGCGGCCTAGCGCGATCTTGAACATAGCGGGGCGCCAGTTGCCGTGGCCCCCAGCATGAGGTCGGGCACGTCCTCTTACAGGCGGATCTTGGAAGACACATGAAACTAGCCAGAGCCAAGAGAGCACGACAGATCGTCACCAGACTATTTTTGTTAACTATTCTTGAAGATTCCCCCTGGAGAGGGCCACGCCCGACTCAACCCCAGCACGCTCCTTCGCCTCCTCTCTCTTCTTGTCGGCCTCCTCGGCCGCGTGGGCCTCCTCCAGCGTCCTCGGCGGGGGGAGGGCAGCGGAAGCGGCAGCCTGCCCCGCCGAAGCCAAGATTCGCTTCTTCGGGCGTTCGAGCCTCAGAAAATCGGCTCTCGCAACTTAGACGTTCCGTCTGCGCAAAACGTCCCAGGCCCCCTCCAAGAGCACCCCCAAGAAGGGCCCAAGAGGCCACACTCATTACTTTTCCATCGGGAACTTACATTTCTAGCATATACGACGTTTCGGCCTTCACGGCGTCACAGACAGCTTCGTCTTCAGGGTCGGCGGCACCGGCCGTAAGGACTTCGCAATCGGCTCTCGCAACTTAGACGCTCCGCCTGCGCAAATTCGCAACATGCAAGCCACCACCAGTTCTGAAACACTGTTCCTTGCCGTCGAGCTCCTATCCGAGCAGTTGAGAGAACGCTGGGCCACCTAACCCCGCGCTCCGCGCTGCCAGGACCCGCGACCACCTTGGGCGATCATAAAGGTTTGGAGACCACTTGCGAAGCCTACCCCCGCGGGTCCAATCGACGCTGGGGTATGAGGCACCCCCGCCGGAGTTCGCCTGGCTGCAGACATCCTCCAAATTCTGATCCCGAGCTGGTTTAACACAAATCTTACCAGCAGGGGCAGGGTGGTTGCCCAGAAAGTGCAGAATTACTGAAACTCCCTGGAGCCCCCTCCAGGGTGGGCTCTGACGAAGACCTCGAGGCGAATTCGGCCGGAGTGGGTACCAGTATTTAGGGGAACGGACAATGACTTAAACATAACAACTCGGAGGTCCGCGCGGAGTTCTCGGATCGGCGCTGGGGCTCCCTGGCGGCGCCTCTGGCGCCGCCCCCTGGCGCGCTCTGCGCGAGGGGGGGGGGGGGGTCCAGCGCGGATCCAAGAAATCCGCGAGGACCCCCGAGTTTGTATGTTTACGCCATGTTTCGTTCCTCCAGTACCGTGAGAAGTGTGTATGGGGTTGAAGTACAAGAGTACAGAACCCCTGATCCGTTGGTAGAGAGATGGAGGGATAGATGGATATCTTTCCCTCCCAAGCGATCAAGGTACGATCGCTCCAACTCAGTACCTGAGCCCAAACGGCCAGGTGCGGGAGAGGTAAGGATAAGGAGTATATATGAGGGTATTACACGGGTTCCATACACACCCCCCGTCCCGAATCCCGCCCGTGAAGGCAGGACTCGGGATCAGGAGGATGGAATCCGTAACCTCAGAACTCCTTTACCTTAAGTCTGAAAAGGCAGCTGGGCTAAAAGTCAGCGAAGCCACAGCTGCAAAGTGAGGTAAGAAGAGATACCTTGGGTCTCTTTTTCTTCTCCAGGCGGTCTTTGCCGCCCCCTCGGTGCGCCCCCCAAAACGCTTCGGCACTCGAGGGAGGAGAAGAATGAGACAAAGGTAGGCGGAGAAAGAAGATCTGAGCATCAAGGCAACGTAAACCGCCTCGCAAGATTTGCGAGGCAGGTGTTGCCACCAGCTATCAGATTATTCTCGACGCAATATTGTTAAATTGTTAAAACATGCATGCTAAGATCGCGTTGACGAACACAATCTTGAAATCAAACACAAGTCTGCCTAAAAGCAAATGTATGCCAAGATCGCGTTGACGAACACAATCTTGAAAGAAATGCAAATCTGCGTTAAAGCAAGTACCTGGCCAGGAGAAAATGTCGCGTTGATGAACATGAAAATGATGTATAAAATCTGTTTGGCGACTCCCGTTGGCGTTGCTCCTTAGGAGGCTGCCTCGGTGATCGCAAAAGATATCTATATGTGTGTGTGGCCACTTGTGTGAAAGATTGAAGTGGCCTAAAAGAATGTATTAACCACCGCTCAAGGCGAACTTTGATGAACGGAAGTTCTGCTCTTGAGCAGTGGGCCTTGCGGCCGACTCACTACGCGTCGCCGTCCTTGTAGAACCTGCGGTCCCACGCCCTCTGGCCGTTGTGCGTCGCATAGCTTGTCGTAAACGTTTCCCGAGTGGTCCTCGGGATCCAGTTGCGGAACCAATCGTTGTACGTGATATCCTGGATGTACACGTACTCGTCGTTGTTGATCGCAATGTAGATCCAACATTTGATGTAATAACTCCAGTATCGAAGACCCCAATCGCTGTCCTCGAGATTGTGGCGCCAGTAAGCAGCGTAATCAGATGTACGTGCTCTCTTGGCGCGCGGCATCGCGGGCATGTAGTCCTCTGCGCCTGAGGCGCTGGATGCAGCGGCGTCGCCAGGAGCAGGGCGCGGCGGCGGCCGCGGCGGCGGCCGCGGCTCCATGGCGTCATCGGACTGTTGGGAGTGTGTATCTGGATCGGTTCTCATCCCTGTACTACCCCCCCTCTGGTCAGTGTGTGACGGATCGAGGGAGCCTATCAGCTCGTTGGCAATCGCGGCAAGCTTGCGCTGGGTGAACTGTTCACGGGTTCCGTCCCCTCGAGGGAGAGAAACCGTAATCAGTCCGCGCGCCTGCCGCGTCTGCCTGTCAATGCGCCCCTCGTTCAGCCACCACTTTCTCCGACCAGCCTGTCCTGTCCTAATACTGACGTCAAGGATGTCCCACGCGTCGCGCATGTCCTCGACTCTCCAGGGCTTCTTGCCGACATTCACGCGGGCTCCTGTCATCTGATGATGGAATCTGAGGTCGTTGAGAAAGCGTTGAATGAGATTGGCGTATGGGTAGTACAGAGGTCGGTCGTCCTCGGATTCGCCCATTAATCTGCATTCGTGTGCAGGCGGGCTACCGGCTTCGACCCACTTCTGATACCTCTTCTTGGACGTATTGGCCAATCTCCGCAACTGATCTTTCTCTGTGCCTATGGGGGATCGCGCACCCGTCATAATGACATGTGCGCCATCCTTCATGTATCTCGCGACCTGGTCCTCGGACAACGTCGTCTTGATCCAGTTCGTCAACTTCTGGAGGTACGCGAGGTCACTCTGTGTGGCGGTGCTCTTACCTGTGGCGCCTACGGCCACAGTGTATTGCCAACATATATCACAGAGTGCGCCGTCACCTGTGACGATACCGAGGGACAGATCTCGACCGCAATTGTTACAGAGCGGTATGGGATGCAAGATCGTCTCGGGGGCCCCTGCCGAAGTCAGGTGATCGCGGGATCCCCAGCGGGTGTCCTGACCGCGAGCGAGGCTCTGACCGATCTGATTGATCGCCTCACGATTGATCTCGGTGTTTGGTCTGGAAGCGATCGATCTGCTTAAACCCTCGATCTCGATCCGAGACAACCTTTCCCCTGGCAGTCCTTTGTACTCTATCTTGACGTTGTCGGTATCCTCAGTACCGCCATGGCATACGTTCTCCTCACGAAGACGGCGAGCCTGCTTCTGCAAGGTAGCCTCGTTGTCGCCCTCCTCGCGCTTGAGTCCCGTCTGTTCAGCTATGATGCGTACCATAGTCTCCTGATCGGGAGCTGCAGACGCAACACTGCCTGGGTCCTGGGGAATATCCTGCTCAGCGCCCTCCTCTCGAGGCGCAGCAGGTGTTTCCACCAGCTCTTCCCACGCAGGAAACTCTGGATCACCGTATGTCGCAGTACAATTTTTGTATAGGTCACGCAATGCCTGAAGTGCAGGATGGTTGTCATGGATGACTTCCTTGGCGAAATCTGGTAGCTCCACAATGCTATCTTTCAAGATGTTCTGGTATACTTTGGAAATCCATTGAAAGATGCCAGTGGTCGACTCCTCGATAGTCTCTGGGTCGAGGTAGTGTACCAACTTTTTGAAGAAGTGATCTGCACCACAATTGGGTAAGTCATTTGCCCACTTGTGGGTATGATTGTAGTTCAAATGATATGACTCCGCGTTCCATGCTTTCGATCCAAACCGAATTTCAAATTGTAAATGTGACTGAATTTTGTCCATTACGATTCTGTCTGCGCCACTGTGTATCTCAATGATCTGCCTCATCTTGATCATAGGCGAATCCACCAATAACGCCGATGTCCAACAATACACGCGGCAATCATCAGACTGTCTAATCCATCTTGAATCCTCGTCGGGGTCGTAGTCTGGATGATCAAGGAAATTCGATGGCGGATCAATGATGTTATCGAGGATGCTTGCCTCGATCTGCTCTTCTGCTTGGATGTCTGCCGAGAGGTCTGCCCTCATGTTGTCGTTCGCAGCTTTCTCATCTGCAGTAAGAACGATATTTGATATGTCCACGATTACGGTGATCAGTGGATCATGCGATGATGCTGTACCCTGTCGAGGAATGTCGCCCGTCTGAGCGTTGTCCTCGGCAGGTGTGGCCACCAGCTCGTCTGGATCAGGTGTCCGTGGAGCGGGCCTTCTTGGTGGTGTACGCGGAATACGTGGTCTATGGATGCTAGGCATTCCAAGGTATGGTAAGCTGCCGCTAACCTTGTGCTGCAGTATCTCCTCGCTGCAAGATGTCGGGCCTTTCAGGGCAGTCTCCATCCATGTTGGATCGATGGCGTGTTCTTCGATACGAATCGGCAATGCAAATACAACGCCCTTGAGGGGCATGCTTTTGTCATTATACCAGATATTTACCCATCGTAAACCGTAGTTGAGAATAGGTACTTGTACCGCAAAGAACTTGTCGAATATGCCGAAATGGATGATTGGACCATATATGTGTCCCTTGGACAAGGCAATCTTGGTATTGTGATTGCCTTTGGGCCAATGGTTGTCGTAGTGGAAGCATTTGGTAGAACCCCAATTCTTAATGACAATGAAGTCGCCCATTCGAACATCGTTAAATGCAGGACGACGATCCCAATCTTTTTGCATGATCTTTGCTGTGATTGGTCGAAGAGCTTCACGACAATGTGATAATGCAATCAACCATTCTTTATCATCTGCTTTGTGATTGGTCTCCTGGATCATAGCACGTACTATTTGCTCGTCCAAGGCGTCCTCTGCGGATGTACGGCCAGCAGGGGTTTCCCCCGGCCTGGCCGAGGGTGCTGATGCTGGCGTCATCCTTGGAGGCTCCATGTCTTGGTCGGGGTCGATAGGTGCCAATCCAGGT